CTCTCCCTGCAAATGACTCTTGTGGTATCTGCTTTGGAGTCAACCAATGCAGCAAAAAGACCATTAACCTTTCCCCCTCTCCATGCTGTGCTCTGTATTCTGCAGACATCTCCCCAACTGTTTATAAGACAGCACTTCAAAAATACCCTGGCTTAGATTTTGAAAAAAATCACAGCCATCCCGTTATTAAAAGCATGGGGGGGAAGAAAGTACCATCTGCTGTTGTCAGCCCATTCAGCTGTGGAATGTTATCTGCCTTTTGCATAACCTTTTTTGCATAATCCCATTTGTACCTCTGGTCTGCAATTTATGTACCTCTCCTACAATGCATAGTGGACAGTTCCTGGCCATTCGTTTTTGTCTTTGATAGAACAATGAAAGTATTGTTCATGTCACTTAAGAAAAAATAAGCACACTCATTTAATTAAGACTAAGAAAGTGCATAGAAAAGAGTTTGGAATAGGCCACATGATGGTGCAGTAAACAGGTGGCTGCAAAATGAATGTAGTAAAATATAATTGAAACCTTCAGCTATAATGAGTTTCTCCTGGAAAAGTGGGCAAAGTCCAAAGCATAGCTTGCACATTCCTAATAAAGTTTCACTTCACTTATCCCCTAAAATTGCATATTTGTGCTTCTGCATAAATAAAATTGCAGCATTTCTGTTGCCCAGCACAGATACTCCCTGATCTTACAAAACCAGCTGACTCCCAACTCCCCACCAGACAGCACAGCAGCTGCTCTCTCTATCTCACTCCCTTCTTCGGATGAACAGCTTCTTTTGGATAAATAGTCCTGAACCACCCACTTCCCTTGTTCCTTTAGTGAACCACTCCCGAAAAGCAGAGAGCTACCTGCACTTGAGAGTACAGAATTTATCTTCTGCTTAAAAATAGCCCTTTTAGGGTATATCTACACAGCAACATCAACACAGCAATAACTAGTGTTATTCTGAAATAACTTAGTCCGCATCTACCTAGCAGGCAGTTATTTCGAAATAATGTCAAAATACTGTCAAGCTGGAGAACTTCTTACTCCGACTTCTGTAACTCTCATTGTACGAGGAATAAGGGAAGTCGGAGGTAGGGTTGGCAGGGGTCCGGTATTGACCCAGACAGTCCGGTATTTTCGGCTCCTGCCTGGTAAAAAAATTCAGAGAATACTGGACACCTGAGATGTCCGGTATTCTCTGAATTTTTCCCTGGCTATGAGGTGAAAATGCTGGGCACCTGGCAACCCTACAAACATTCAGCGCCCAACTGCCCCCCTCCCCCAGCCTCCAACACCCCCAGCCCCATGCTTACCTGGTTCACAAGGTTGCCAGCACAAAATGGCTGCCAGCTAAAAGATCTAGGGAAAGCCATGCTTTCCCCTGGGTCTTAGTGCTCAATTTCTCCCCTGTTCCTATCCCTGCACTTAAAGGGGACATGCTATTTTTATGTTAATGCTGTTTTTTTTTTTTTAATTTAAGTCCTTGGAGGTTTTTTTTTTTTGTTGCTCAACAACTTTGGTCTCCCTCCCCCAACAGAATTTTTTCCAGGTGGGTTTTTTTTGGGTGGGGGAGGGGGGTGTTCAGTATTTTTGTTTCAAACATCTGGCAACCCTAGTCGGAGGAAGAGTGCTCTATTTCTAAATAAGTACTGTGTAGATGCTCCCAATTTTGAAATAAGCCATACAATTGGCATAGCTCAATTTGCGTAGCTTATTTCAAGTTCAGCCCTGTTGTGTAGACTCCCCCTTAGTGTGGAAACTGGATTAGGTAAGTGAAGCCAAAGTCTGTTTGGGAAAGACTAATAATGAGACAACTATGAAATTCCAGACACCTGTGGATTTAATCAGCATTTCTACAATCTGTCCCCCAAGCAACTATCTGATGGCAATGGAAAAACTCTCATTAACAGCTGATGGTGTCCCGCTGGCAGCAGTGGCTCCTGGGGGTTCCTCTCAGCCCTATATGAAAGAGCCATGATCCAGATAAGGCTATGGTAAGGTGCTCTTACTTGAAGCAGGAGCTTGAACAGCAGTAGAATGAGACCATCCACTTGCTCCTTGTGCTAGGGGTGCTCACTGTTACATCTCCACTGTCCACAATCTGCCTGGAATACCAGAAGGTCAAAGCATGTCATTTAAGTTCAGGATTGGTATACCACGCACCTCACAATCTACGATTTAAGAAACTTGATTCTTCTTCTCCAAGTATAATTCCCTGCTCATCTGAGGCTGGCTGCTGGGAAGGGTCTCTCTAGTTTCACAAACCAGGACTAGAGCAGGATGCAGTTTGTATGTTGCTCATACTGCTGTTCCCAGCAGACAAGTGTCCATAACACAGAAATCACCATTATTGATAGCAACTGGGATTCAGATGCTCTTACTTTCCGGCAAGGTGCCTTCCAGTAATGAAAGGGACCTGGGCTCTTAGACTAGCAAGGCTATCAATCTTGGTAGGATCTGACAGATGTAATTCCAACCTACCTCCCACTTAACAGGGAAAGGGAGAAAAGCTTGAGACACCGAAGAAGGGATTACTCTAGAACTAAAGGGAAGGAGGCTGCTAGGCAGCTGAGGCAAAACTATGCCCTTTCGCTACACATATTCCACTTCATTTAGCCAGTTTTCAAAATGGTAAAAAAAAAATCAATCCAAAGATGGCCCTACTGCTGCAAGTTAAAATCAGAAATGCCAACAGGAGAAGGGAGGACTCAGGAAAAAAAAACAAGCAGATGAAGAAGAGTCCACTCAGATTAGGAACCTGAGCCAAGCTTTCAAAAACAAAACAGCAGGGCAAATGCAAAGGTGAGTGATCAGATGTCAAGTGCTCTTCCATGTGATCAGCTGGGTTGCATGTGCAAGCTGAGTTAAGTAGGTGTAGACAGCTAGTTTAATGTCTACCTATACATTTACATACATGTTTACCCAATTTTAGGATGATCCATATAAGTGCTGGTAGCAGGGTTTATATTTCCTTATTCTTAGAACACACAGGTACTGACCAACAAGTGGCTCAAGGAAGCCCTCCCGCCAGAAGCAGAAAGCCTTCGAAAGCAAGAGTTTTCAAAAAGCAGCAAGCAGGATGCCTGGAAGTTTCCTCCATTGAGAATTTCCATAGGCCAACCTAGTTCTAAAATGAAGATTTGTACTTAGATAAGCACCACTCAAAAAAGGATGTCAAAGCAGGCCAGCCATCCACAAAGGAAGCCTCACAGCACTAATTAGGCACATAACCATTTGCCTCATTCTACAGATGAGGAAGCTCAGACAGAGAGGTTGCCCCAAAGAGAGTCACCAAGTAGCAAAGGCTGGGTGAGACTCCAGGAATCCTGTCCCTCAATCAGACAGCCAGTCAGGTCCCATAATTCTTCCCCTAATGTCTGCACACAGTGTTGTTCTCATCTAGTGGCCTCTTTAGGACAACTGCCTTCACAGGCCAGTCAGCCCTCCAGCCGAGAAAGGGTTAATTCACCTCCCTTCCAAGGTAACAAAATGTCCAGGCGCCATCCCAAAAATTCGCTTTGAGCCCTTTCCTCATCCCCTTTCCTTTCTCCAGCTCTGGTACTGATTAGGGATATGAAGCACTAGTCGCTCTCCCCCCTTGCTGCCTCTGTCAAAAAGAGGCAACAAGGGGAGGGGAGAGAGTGGATATTCAAAGCATCAGCACCACATGGAGCCTGGGATCAGCTAGTGACTCCCCCGATGACCCTGGGCTCTGTGCGGCACTGCCGCTTTGAAATGCTGCACAGAGCCTGATGTAGGGCTCCCCGTGGTATTTCAAAGCGGCAGCACTGCACAGAGCCCGAGGTCAATGGGGAAGTCCCCAGCTGACCCCAGGCCTCATGCAGCACTTTCATCTTTGAAGGCAGAGGCGTCCTATCGATTAATCTAATAGTCGATGCAAAATGCATCAACTATTTGATTAGTCAATTACTTGCAATTTAACATCCCTAGAACTGAGTACTGAGTATTATCCTGCCTACTTTATGTCTTCCTAAGGCCTCTAGCATCTTAATCCTTCACAGGAGCAAGCAAGCAACTCAGCCAGCAGCTTCTCTCTGCTTGACTCTCAAGCTATTTGTAAGGCCCATCTCTCTGTTATTATCTGACCCTTCCTTAGTCTCACAGAGTAATAAAGAAAACTTGTCTAACTGACATTTACACTGCCACCATTTATCTACTCCAGAGTGCACTCCTCTGGATCTCAGAGTCCTAAATGCTTGTTTGTGTGGGTGCATTTGAAGGTCTGCAGCTGGAGTGGAGACAGCACTGTGCAGCTTGTGTGTCTGTTAGTCCAGGCAGGCAATAACTACAAAATCCCTCTGCCACTGGAGCAGGTCCCACCAAATGCCAGCAGTTCTGGTTCCCTGGACCTCTGGTCCACTCTGCCTCTTTTTTTGGACCCAGAATCAGTCGGTCTTCTGTGCTCTGTCCCAGGCAGCACTTCCCCAACCAGCCATAGTTACTTACATTTACTTTCATGCAGGTTCTTCCCAGCCACCAGCACAGCCAGGGTTTCTCTCCTCCAGGGACAGTCACCAACAGCCCCTGAAGCAACCTGCTAGATCAAAGCCCTAGCAGACTTGCAGTAACAGGCTCTAGCTTCCAACAGCAGTTCCTGGACTGGAAAAGGCTCCACACCAGCAATCTGTCTATTTTCTCCAAATTGGAGCTCAGCAACTCTCCCTGCACTGCCTGGAAGAGAGTAACAGTTTTCCTTCCTTTTTCCCAAGGGCTCATGAGAGTTGTAGTCTCTCAGGCTAGATTGTAGCACAAAGGATCCTCCCGGTAAAAGTCAAAGGCTCCTATAGAAAAATGAGCCTTCACCCCTTTCCTGCTTTTAATAGGGTGAGAATTCTTGACACATTGTAATAATTGCTCCAATAACGTACAGGAATAAAAGTACTGTTATTTCAGAACTAACCTTTATGACATTCTTTATGACATAACCCAGCCCTAAACTCAACGCAACAGAGCACATCTTTGGGGGAGGAAATATTACAAACACATACCTGATAGAAGTGTGGCCAGAATGTACTGATGGCAAGCTCTGCCTTCACCCAACCTTCCGTAACAATCCCTGACACATTCCAAATAGGATTGCCCTGTGGCCCACCATTAACCTTTACGTAGACATTCAATGAGCCAGGACTGGAGCGGTCTCTACTAGACAGGTAGTAATGAAAATCAATGCAGTGAGTGTCATTTTCCTTCAAGGTGGGCAACAGTAAGTGAGCTTTCTGCCCAGACGCCCGTCCAGAGCTATTCACCATCATGAAGGAACCTAGAGAGAAAGAAAAAAGGGACAAGGGAAGAGAAGAGGGTTTTTAATTTTATTTTATCTCACAAATTGTATCATATAAGCAAATGATTCTACATGATCCCAGCACTCAGAAAACAAAATATTCATCTCATGGCACAGAAGCCTCCTATTTTATGGATATGAAACTTACAAAGTAGAGAAACAAGTAGATTTTGGGCCTGCTAACTCCAGAATATTAAAAGAGTTCTTACTTTTGAATTTTCATCTGTCAATCTCATTTTATATAACGGGACAGTAAAATATTCCTTTTGAGTTAGAATTAACATACATTTTTTGGTCCATGTTTCATGTATAGAGACCTATTAAATTCATTCAGCAGTGATAGCCCAGCTAGAAACAATACACCAAGGACAGAACCACTGGGGGATGGAACTGGACACAAATGGCATTCAAAGCAAATATGCTGAAGCAGGCGATGGTATAAGACCATAAGAGATTCATGAGTTTGTTAACACTGGGGCTTACCTAATATAAGCCACAGCAATGGGTGTCGAGGAACCCACAGCTTGCTACACCAAGCACTTTATTTTGAGACACATTCGTTTTAAATTAGTTTCTTCACAGATCAAAGTAACAAAAACATTAGCAAAGAGAAAACCATTCTGGGATTTATATGGTTTGATTATATTTAAGTAATCTGCTTTTGGTACATGCACACACAGGAAAATTGGGGGGAAATACCGAGAGGGGGAAACAACCCTCTGTATTTCAGCAGCCAGGCATGATCATTTTTAATCAAACGTGGTCCTCTTGACATTCTGAGTTCCAATCCTGCTGCCAAGTCATGCTACAAATGTATTTTTCTGCTGGCCTCTTGCAGTTCATAGAAGATTGAGTTTGGAAAGGCTCACTTCACTTCTAGCCTCTAGAAGTTCTCTTTTCCTTCCTAATGCTGCAGCTTTGAGACAGACACCCACACGAGCCAGATAAATATTGTGATCAGGTCTGCTCAGTAAACAGCCATATGCTATACCTTTCTATCAACTGACACAGGCAGCATTGCCTCACAAAACCCTTTGTCTACCATGTTCTTACTCCCTCTCTCTCTGGCTGTGTCTAGACTGGCAAGTTTTTCCGCAAAAGCGGCTGCTTTGGCAGAAAAACTTGCCAGCTGTCTACACTGGCCGCTTGAATTTCCTCAAGAACACTGACGATATCATGTAAGAAATCAGTGCTTCTTGCAGAAATACTATGCTGCTCCCGTTTGGGCAAAAGTCCTTTTGCGCAAAACTTTTGCGCAAAAGGGCCAGTGTAGACAGCTCAGATTTGTTTTGCGCAAAAAAGCCCCGATTGCGAAAATGGCAATTGGGGCTTTTTTGCAGAAAAGCGCGTCTAGATTGGCCATGGATGCTTTTGCTCAAAATTCTTTTGCGGAAAAGCGTCCGTGCCAATCTAGATGCTCTTTTCCGCAAATGCTTTTAACAGAAAAGTATTCTGTTAAAAGCATTTGCGGAAAAGAGCATCTAGATTGGCACGGACGCTTTTCCGCAAAAGAATTTTGAGCAAAAGCATCCATGGCCAATCTAGACGCGCTTTTCTGCAAAAAAGCCCCAATTGCCATTTTCGCAATCGGGGCTTTTTTGCGCAAAACAAATCTGAGCTGTCTACACTGGTCTGTGTATATATAAATAAAGGATTAAGAGAAGTAAGGAGGCAGAAGAATGTGTTTTATACTAATGGGGGGAAAAGTTATTGGGGACCTTGGGAAATTCAGCCATGGGGTAAGTAAAAATGAGAAAATGATTGCACTTAGTAACAAGAAAAGTGACCAGCAGAGCCTTTCAGGGCTATTCTAACCTACATCTTAAGTTGGCAAAAATAGAAATGGATATTGCCCAAGAAACTTCAAATTCAAGCATCCTTGAATTTCAGAAACTTTTGATCAGAATCCAAACTCAGAAGCTGACCCCTCTCTATAATAAGAAGATCATGCTAAGGCGCAGGACCAATGCCAGAATTTGTAAAGGTATTCATTGTTGACCCAGTTCTGCTCCCAACCAAAGATAATAGTAAAACTGTCATGGATTTAATGAGAGCAGAATGAAGCAAATGCTGGATCCCTTTGAAAATCTTAACCAAACAATCCTACATTTGGGGAAGTTTAAACTTGCACATAACTTGTGCTCCTCCAAGGTTAGGAGAACACTGATGGGTTGAGAGAGGTTGTATGGTCTAGCAAATAAATCACTGTCAATGTCAAATGTCATTGATTCCATTCCAGTTTATGCTACTTACTTGTCTAACCCTAGACAGTAAATGTAAATTGCCCATTTTCATTGTCCCTTAACAATTAGGATAATACATAAACTTCTGATGAGATCCTTGGATGGAAACCTCTATATAAATGCTAAATTGCTAACCGTTTTTCTACTACAGTAGTATAGTAGTTACAGTAGAGACAGTAGAGAAGCTGCCACTGTCTATCTTCCAGGGTTCAAATTAGCAGTCTAGTTAAGACAGTTAATTTGAAGTGAGGGGCACTCTGGTTGACGCCGGTAACCATGCTTTCACGAGGAGTAAGGGAAGTTGAAAGAAGAGTGTTCTTCCTTCAACTTCCTGCAGTGTAGACAGCGCCAAAAGCTGACTTAAGCTACTTCACTTCAGCTACACAATTAGGCTACGTCTACACTGGCCCGTTTTCCGGAAGGGGCATGTAAATTTCACTTCGAAGTAGGAATAAGAGCCTCCGGAAAAGGGCGCTTTTTCCGGAGGATCGGGGCCAGTGTAGACGCTTTTTTCCGGCTTTTTTAAAAGCCGGAAAAAAGCGGCGGGCATTTTTATTTAAATGCCGCGGGGGATATTTAAATCCCCCGCGGATTTCCCTACTACGATAGGTGAAATTTACATGCCCCTTCCGGAAAACGGGCCAGTGTAGACGAGCCCTTAATGTAGCTGAAGTTGTGTATCTTAATTCAACTTTGTCCCATAGTATAGATATACTCTAAGATATTTATTTACTGACAACAGGCAGGTTTTAAGAGACAATCTGCAGCCAGATAATCTCATATTATTCCCTACCGTATGTACAGGGATGTACAAGAGACTACTAGGCTGTGTCTACATTGGCATGAATTTCCGGAAATGCTTAAAACAGAATAGTTTTCGTTATAAGTATTTCCGGAAAAGGAGCGTCTACATTGGCAGGCTGCTTTTCCAGAAAAGCCCTTTTTCCGGAAAAGCGTCTGTGGCCAATGTAGACGCGCTTTTCCGGAAAAGAGCCCCGATCGCCATTTTCGCGATCGGGGCTTTTTTTTCCGGAAAAGACTACTGGCCTGTCTACACTGGCCCTTTTCCGGAACAGTGTTCCGGAATAAGGACTTATGCCCGAGCGGGAGCAGAATAGTTTTTCCGGAATAGCGGCTGATTTTGTACAGTAGAGAATCGTTGCTTTTCCGGAAATTCAAGGGCCAGTGCAGACAGCTCGCAGCTTATTCCGGAAAAGCGGCTGATTTTCCAGAATAAGTGGCCCAGTGTAAACACAGCCCTATAGAAATTAAAATGAAGCAGCTGAAGTTAAACCTGAGCAAGGCAGTTTATTCTTGTTAACTAATGAAAACATAGAAGAGCTTGTTACCACAGTACCATTTCCACAGTCACTCCACAGTTTAGGAGTTCCACTGGCCTTTTCATTCCTACTGAATTCTCATGAAGTGCCATCCACAATACACCCTTTTTCTGACTAGCTAGGGGTGGGGAACCTTTTTGGGGTTGGGCGCCACTGACCCACAGAAAAATCAGTTCAGGGATGCACACAAGTGAGAAAAAAAAAGAGCCTAGATTTTGTGTATCAGTACGGGGATCCTTGGGCCTGAGGCTCCCCACCCACTAAGTTCCATGTTCCAACCTTGAGGGAAATGGGCTGGTTTAAGTAATAAATGCCTTCATTACATCTTCATTACATGTGAGAAAATAGCAATGCCACCTATTCAGGCATGAAGGCTACAGCCCCAAAACAATCCCATTTGACACAGAATTCATTGAACACATCAAACCCTTTCTTCCACCCACTGCGCTCATTTCCAGTAACCCACATTAGATTCAAGGCATTCTTTCTTATCTTCCAGGATCTTAATCATTTGGATACCCACTCTCTCTGGAAGTTTGCTCTGCACTCTGGAATCAGGACCACTTAGTATTCAGTTGTATTTCTCTGCCACAAGGCAATTACCCACTGCAAGGATGAAGCCAGTTTATGCAGGTTACAGCACTCAGTTGCTGGTCTGAGGAGCTAAGCAACATTTCAAAAGTGATCCTTTTCAAGTGGAAAGCACATTTTGACATGGGCTTCCCTCATAATTGTGGACCAAATTCCAATCTGTGGGAAATTAAACACCACCCCAACAAAATATATATATATTGAACTATATACACCAAGAGCTCAAGAAAAAGTTTTTTGTGAGGTGCAAAAAAAATGTTGTTATACTTATTGGATACAATAGTGCTTTTAAAGCCAGTTTGGATTTAATTTAATAGTCTTTAATCAACAGGTTAGTTTAAATAATATCTTACTGTTACTCTTAGGCTATGTCTAGACTGCAAGCCTCTTTCGAAAGAGGCCGTCTAGACTGCACGCGGAATTTCAAAAAAGCAAGCCGCTTTTTCGAAAGAAAGCACCCAGTGAGTCTGGATGCTCTCTTTCTAAAAAGCCTGTTTGCTTTCAAGAACGCCTTCTTTCGAAAGAGCACTTTCGAAAGAAGGCGTTCTTCCTCGTGGAATTAGGTTTACCACCGTCGAAAGAAAAGCCGCATTCTTTCGATTTAATTTCGAAAGAACGCGGCTGCAGTCTAGACGCAGGTGAAGTTTTTTCGGAAAAAGGCTACTTTTCCCGAAAAACCCCCTGAGTCTGGACACAGCCTTTGGGTGCATCTACACAACAGCATTAGCTCGAAATAAGCTATGCAATTTGAGCTACACAAATTGCGTAGCTTATTTTGAGCTTATTTCAAGATGGTCTATTTAGG